GGAGCTGGGGGTCGGAGCGGCCGTGCGGAGGGAGGGCCGCGAGGAGAGCGGCGCATCGCCCGCCACTTGCCGTTCTCCGTGCGCCGATCGGTCCTCTCGTTTCCTCCTCGCCTGTCCCTCCGCGGCTGCTGCCGCCCGGCTTCCTCTGCTCCCCAGCTTCTTCACGCGCCCATTTCTTACCCCTGTAGTCCTCACCTTCCTCCTCACGTCTTCCCTTCTCTCTCTCCTCCTCCTCCTTCTCCTCCTCCTCCTCCTCCTCCTCCTCCTCCTCCTCCTTCTTCTCCTCCTCCTCCTCCTTTTCCTCCTCCTCCTCCTCTTACTCCTCCTACTCCTGAATGTCTGAATGCCTGCCTGCAGCAATGTCGTGGTGACGTTGCCATCCTCCCCCAGGTCGGTCGGCCCTTGGGGGGGGGGGGGATCAAACTACGAGCCAAGCAACTGCTGGAGCGTCGCTCCAGGAGTCGCTGGCTGGCGGGATAGAATGACAAGTTTCAATGTGGGAGGCGACAAAGTAGCAGACAAGGAGGAAAGGAGGAACGAACAAGCATCCTCCTCGTCCTCCTCCTCCTCACGACGCTGGACCACGCCCTCGACAGCTTCCAGTCCCAGGATGGCCATGGCCATGGTACGGGCCCGCTCTACCCCTGCCCCCCCGCCTCCGACTAGTTGCCCGTGCGTGCACCTTCCCGCCAATCGTCCTCCTCCTGCTCCTACTCCTCCTCCTCCTCCTCCTCCTTCCTTCTCCTCCTCCTCCTCCTCCTCCTCCCTTCCTTCTCCTCCTCTCCTCCTCCTCCTCCTTCTCCTCCTCCTCGTCCTCCTCCTCCTCCCCCTCTTCCTCCTCCTCCTCCTTCTCCTCCTCCTCCTCCTCCTCCATTCTTTACCCTTGTGAATAATTATTCCCTGTCACACCCCAAGGCCAGTCGGAAGGGCGGGCCAGGCGTTTCGCCTGAGACTTCCTTACAATGTTGATCTAGAAGCTTAAGCACTGATAGCAGTTTCACAGATGGAGAGCGGGCCGCTTCCAACATGTGGTTCTCGACTAAGCGCCGCGCGTATCCGTTTTAGGAATGTGCAGAAGCGTCACGGATTGAGGGCGGGTCGTGTTCAAAAGGTGGTTCTCAATTTGGCGTAAAGAATTGCAAGAGCTTCGCGGATTGAGGGCATGTCGTGTTCAAAAAGTGGTTATCGTTTTCGCGCCGCGCACAGTCGTTTTTAATATTTGCAAGAGCTTCCCAGATTGATGGCGGCCCGTTTTCAAAATGTAGCTCTCGCCTCATCGCCGCGCACACTCGCCTTAAGAAGTTGCAGGAGTTTCACGGTGTCTCATGGTTAACATTCCAGAATGGTTGTCGTTGGAGCGATTCAGGATTGTCAGGGCGCAACAGTCAATGTGGTTCGCGGTGTTGAAGTCCGAGGAATTGCGTTCTGGGGCGATTCAGGATCGTCAATGCGCATCAGTCAGATTGACTCGTGGCGTTGAAGTCCCGAGGAGGGTGTTTTGGCACGCGTCTGGATTTTCACACGGTTGTCCCCCAACGGCGCATTTCTTTCAGTGGAGATGAACGCTTGCAGGGGCCCATGAAGAGGGAGCTTGGAGGGAGGTTGTATTCCAACATGGTTGATGAGTCTTGGGTTTACATTCGTCCTCGTCCTCCTCTTCCTCCTCCTCCTTCTCCTGAATGCTTGAATTTCGGATGCAACGTCTGAGAGGTACAAAGTTGTTTTTGCTCTGGTCCGAAATCTGGCTTAATCCGGCTTGATCCAGCTTAATCCCGCTTAATCCGGACTCCGGGTTAATCCACCCTAATCCCGTTTAGTCCGCGGCCTCATCCGACGTAACAGCCCCCCAACGGGGTTCAATTCCCTTGCATCTTTCCGACGAAGACCTCCCAGCAGTTGCTTCTTAATTGAATGCCCGATGGCATACATGTCGTACTGACGTTGCCATCCCCCCCAAGGGCTGGTCGGCCCTTGGGGGTGATCAAACCAAGAGCCAAGAAACTGCTGGAGCGTCGCTCCAGGAGTCGCCTGCTGGTGGGAGATGCAATTTACATGCAGGAAGCGACAAAGTGGCAGTCCAGGATGTCCCTGGTGCGGGTCCGCTCTGACCCTGACCCCCCCCCCTCTTCCCATTCCCCCTACTACTCCGACTGGTTGCACGTGCGTGCATTTTTCCCCCCTCCTCCTCCTCCTCCTCCTCCTCCTCCTCCTCCTCTCCTCTCCTCCTCCCTCTCCTTCTCCCTCCTCCTCCTCATCCTCCTCTTCCTTCTCCTCCTCCTCCTCCTCCCTCCTCCTCCTCCTCCTCCTCCTCCTCCTCCCCTCCTCTTCCTCCTCTCCTCCTCCTTCTCCTCCTCCTCTTCTTCCTCTCCCCCCGTCCCTCCGTCCTCCGTCCATGCTCCCTCTGTCCTCCGTCCCTTCTCCCCTCCTCCCTCCGTCCCTCCCCGCCCCCCCCCCCGTCCCTCCTCCCTTCCGTCCCTCCGTCCCTCGCCGCCCGCCTGCCGCTCAGCCGTCCACTCGCAGACGCTCGCGGAGGCCCCCCCCCCTGACAAGGGGCGCGCGAGCGAGAGAATGGAGTTGGCGGCGCTTGTCGCACCGCCCACTGGAGTCCGACAAGGACCCCGAGGGCAGGGAGGAGGAGGAGGAGGAGGAGGAGGAGGAGGAGGAGGAGGAGGAGGAGGAGGAGGAGGAGGAGGAGGAGGAGGAGGAGGAGGAGGAGGAGAGGAGGAGGAGGAGGAGAAGGAGGAGGAAGAAGAGGAGGAGGAGGAAGAGGAGGAGGAGGAGGAAACGAGGAGGAGGAGGAGGAAGAAGACGAAGAGGAGGTGGAGGAGCAGGCAGGAGGAGGTCGTCCTTGTTGCACGGGGGGCGGTCTTCTGCCCGGCAGCCGACGGCCCCCGCCCGCGCCGGGAGGAGCCGCGAGGCACGAGGCGCTCGAGTCCGGCGAGGCGGGCCGCCCCCCCCCAGGATTACATCCACGCGCGCGTTGACGCGTGAGCACGCGTTCCCCCCAGACTGCAGGTACCCCACCCCCGGACTACAGGGACACTGCCCCCCTGGCCTGTATAGGTGCCCCGCCCCGGACTGCTGGTACCCCCCCCCCCGCCCCCGGACCACAGGTGCCCCTCCTCCGGGCTGCAGGTACCCTCCCCGGACTGCAGGTGCCCCCAGAAGTGTATTGAGGGACACAGAGCAGCTGCCCTGACACGCCCGTCTTGAAACGTAGCACGTGCCGTGCTCCAAACGTCCTTGTTGACACGTTGCGTGTTGGCTCACCGTATTGGCCCACGTATTGGCGAGCGTATCGCGCCAGGCCCGCGTATTGAGTCTGCGTGTGGAGCTCCGTGTCAGCACGCTGCGGGCTGCGTGCTGCGTGCCGAGACAGCCACCGCCCTGGACAGAAGCATAACGAAAGGTGCTCTGGTTTCGGCCTCGGGGCCCTCACTGGGCCTCGGGGCCGTCAAAAACTGCTCGGGATGAGACAGCGGCCCCGGGGAGTGGGTCGAGACTTTTGGGAGTCGATGTCGGAATCATGACGTCGTGGGAGGAGGAGGAGGAGGAGGAGGAGGAGGAGGACGAGGAGGCCTGGGTCTCGAGTCCAGGCCTCCCGGATGGGATCCGAGCAGCTGGGGTCCGAGGATCGCGCCGCATCGCCTAGGCATCGGCGAGGCGGCTCCATGTGGAGCCCTGCGCCCTCCACGCCGACGGCGCCGATGCATCGTCGATCTTAGTTGCCTTCATATGCCCGTTTTGATACGCAACACGTGCCGTGTTCAAAACGTCCGTGTCAATACGTTGCGTGTTGGCTCAACGTATTGGCCCACGTTTTGGCGAACGTATCGCGTCAGACCTACGTTTTCAGCCTACGCGTTGAGCTCCGTATCAATACGCTACGTGTTGCGTGTTGCGTATCGGGGCAGCTAAGTCGGCGATGCGGCGCGATTTTCCGACCTCACCCGCTCGGGCCCCATCTTGGAGGCTCCTGAAAGCGTGGACGGAGGCCGAAAGCAGTTCATGTCCACTTCGGCGTTGCCGCGGACGGTGCCTGCTTGAGGCAGACAGTCGCCCGCCCAGCAGCGGCCGCTGTCGTCAGCCACGCGCAGAAGGGGGGTAGGGGGAGAGAGGGGGAGGCTTCTTAGAAGCACCCCGGCTTCGTAGAAGGCGCGGTCCTTCTCTATAGATGTAGGGATTGCGCCTTCTACGAAGCAGCCTCCTTCTAAGAAGCCTTCCCCCCTACCCCTGCATGCCTCTACCCCCTTGTGCGCGCCGCCAAAGAAGGCCAAAACACCACGTCTGATGTTTGTGGCAGTCACCTTCTGATGTGGATTCCTGGCGCTTTCGTAAGTTAATGGCGGATCTCTCGCCTCGAGATACCTTCCAGCAGCTTTTCCAGCAGCTGCGCTTCGCCGAGGGCGCTCTGGGGGTGCCCAGATCGTACCAAGCGGCCGCCGGAGGCCCGAGTGAAGGCCCGCAACTTTGACCCCTCGCGTCGTGTCTCGCGCAGGGAGAAAATCACGACGACGGAGGGCCCCTGCAGTTAATCTGGCCTCGCGGGGACCGTTCGCGGTGTCTTGGTGCCGCCAGAAGACGGCTCGGGGTGGAACGTCGGTCCCTGGGAGGCTGTCCAGACCTCTGGGGAGACACGTTGCGAGCGCCGAGTGCCTGGTGACGGCGGCGGCGGCAGTGGCAGGGGCGGCAATGGCAGCGGCGGCGGCGGCGGCGGCGGCGGCGGCGACGACGGACCTTCCCCCTGAGTTGACAGGGGCACCGTCCGTCGGACCTGTTCTTTTGCCGATCTCTCGGGGGTGGACAGAACCCCCAACAGTGACACGTCGATTAGTGAATTGTCCGTCTTCGGTTCTCGAGAGGGCGCCGTGGCCGTTATTTTCCAGGCTTGCGCCCGCCAAGTTTGGGCCTCAGGTCGTTTTCACTAAACCACGTTTTACTAAAGGGGGTTCTGTCCATCCCCGAATCTCTGGGGGCACTGTTCTTTTGCCTCCTGGGATCGCCGGGGATCTACAGACCTCCTGCGCGTACCCCCACCAGCCCATCCAGAAACGATCGCCAGACCTCCTGCGCGACGTGTCGCTGGTTGCCCGTTTGACCCGACGGATCGCTGGTTACCTGCCGCCCTCGTATGTCACTGGTTGGAAGGGATCTCTCAACTGTGAGTTAAATATTCGAACCGTGAGATAACTTCAACAGCGTAGCTTCAACAACGTAGTGTCAACTGACACTACGCTTTTGACACTACCCTGTTGACGCTACACTGTTGAAGTGTAGTGTGAACAGCGTAGTGTCAACACCGCAGTGTCACCTGACCCTACGCTGCTGACGCTACGCTGTTGGTTCGCAGTCTGAGATCAGGCCTCTCGAGGCGCAAACGTGATACTGTCGAGGCTGCCAAATCGACTAAGAACCTTTCTTTGTGGCTCCCACGAAATGTTCTTGGAACATTTCTGGCTGGGACTGTCTTGTTATAACACATAGGTTTATGTTCCAAGAACGTTGTTTTTGGCTGCACTTCTGGCTGCACTTCTGGCTGCAGAGCCGTCTCTTGTTCCGCACTCCCTTCCAGCCCCCTGTCCCTTCCCCTTCCCTCCCAGACCCCCGACGTCGTGATTTTTGCTGCAACGTCAACCCCTATAGATCTGGACCCCTTCCCCGGGACCGGCTTTTCATCCTGAGTCGTTGTGGCACGGTCCCGAGGCCCGGCAAGGGCCCCCAGAGGCCGAAAGGAGCGAAATACCTCCCGTCGCGATTTTCTTCACAACGCGAGGGGGTATGGTTAGGTCGGGCATGTCCCCTTATAGGCGGATTTTGGACGAAAAATGAAACATACCCCAAACATATTCAAGAAATAATAGAAAAGTCGTTAGACAAATCGTCCCCATGACATGTTTTCACTATTTTTGAATATTCCTCCTGTAGAGGGACACGCCATACGTAAGGGTATGGGTCCGTCTCTCCTCTCCTTGCGTCCAGGCCCTTCCCCTTCCCTCCCCTGCGTCCTCTCCATCTGAGCGGCGCAAAAACGGGGTCGTTTGCGCCGACAATGGCGCGCAAGCTGCCCACGCAAGGTCTCGCGTAATCGCCCTCGCTTCCACTCGGCCACTCGCAGAGAGGGGTGGGGCGAGGGGGGAAGGCTTCTTAGAAACACCCCCGCTTCTTAGAAGGCGCGGGCCTTGTCTAAAGATGTAAAGCTGGCGCCATCTAAGAAGCAGCGTCCTTCTAAGAAGCTTTCTCCCCTCCCCCTACCCCCTTGTGCGCGCCTCCAATTCACTGTAGCGTGCGGCGCCGGCGGCCCGCGTAAGCCGCGGCGTAAGTTCGCGATGCCACCTCGCGTGAGACCCGTTTTGTAACGTCGCTCATACAGGCGGGGCGCTGAAGAAGGAGCCCTTTGCGTTGGGGAGGGGCTCCGTGGTCCTAAACTGTTTCACAGGTTGCCTTCAGTTTCCTGCGGTCTCCGATCGGAAAATCAGAGTTTCATTTGTGGAAAAAGAGGCCTCGTCCCTTATTTAGGGTTCCTTCGGCCAACGCCCCGACTGTGTATGATGGGTTAATGCCTCCTCAAGTTTGTTCCGGGCCATCCGCCGATCTTGGAACAGGGACGCGCTCCTCACCAGAGAGCCCAGAGCAGAGCTCGCTGCTACTCCTCCCTGCCCTGCGGCCACCCTCCAGAGGGCCCAAAGAGGCAATCATCACTGAGTCTCATTGTGCTTTCTTATGTCTTTCGCGATCTCCCGCCTTCGGGCTTCCGACGCTCCAAGATGACCCCCAGAGGCCCTTACGACCGCCCCAAGACGGCCCAAGAGGCCCCCAACAGGGCCCCAAGACGGTCCAAGCCAGGAGGGCCCGAACACGGCCCAAGGGGCGCCCAAGCCCCTGCTGCCTCCAGGTCGGCAGGGAGGGTGGGGTGGGTGGGGTGTCTGGCTGGCCATGCAATGTGGCTGCTGCACTTCCAGTCGCCGCCTCCTTTCTTTCGACGACGCTGCTCCTCGAGTGTGTGTGTGTGTGTGACTGTGTGTGTATGTGTGTAAGTGTGTGTAAGTGTGTGTAAGTGTGTGTAAGTGTGTGTAAGTGTGTGTGTGTGTGTTTGTGTGTGTGCTGCACCGTTCGGGCCAGGTGACCACGAGCAGCGACGGTGGCGCGCAGTCGCAGGAGGAGGTGTTCTTCTCCCGAGGCCAGCACATGCAGCCGAGATCACTGCTCCTTCAGTTCCTTAGCACGGGTGGCACGAGGGCTATGATGTTCCAACCTACGTTAGCTTTGATCATCAGAAAGGGGTTCGAGCACCAAGAAAGAACCGAACCTAAAGGGTTTTCACGTGTCGGGCCCTGGGAGACGATACTCGTTCGACACTGTTTCGATACTTTTCTGGGTGCTCGAAATTAGTTCTGGGATGTGGTCCTTAAGTGCGATGGGAACAACATAACGCGAGGGTTAAGAACAGCCACAGCTTTGGAGCGGTACCCGGATGTTATGCGTGTTGGGCCCTCCACCTCGCAATGTCCTTCGTGCACGGGGTGTTGGGCCCTCACCGAGGGGGCTCACCTTCTTGACCCGCGTTCTGGCTGCGACGTTTCGAACGTATTCCAGATCCTCTCACGCATGGTCAGCATTCTACAGTGGAGACCCATGCAAAGACACATCTTGCTTGCCTCCAGGGTGTCCTGGGTTTCTCGGGTTTCGATGGTGCTGCTGTGGAAAGCGCGACGTGCCCGCACCAGGAATCATTGGACGTCCTGGGGTCTCAGGGTTGGGTTTCTTCTGGCAGGTTTCTTGTGGACTGACCTCCATTGTATTCCAGATCCTCTCATGCATGGTCAGCATTCTACCCAAACTGGTTCAGTGATACCAGCGCGCTTCCTCCTTGCTGTATACGTCGTATGATTCAGGCTTGTACGCCGTTGCATCCAAGTTGCCTCGTCACTGCTGGTTCGCCATGACCAGCCTTGGAGCACATGATCTGGTTCCACCAGCTTGTGGAAATCGTCGACGTTTCGTTGCTCATCGATGGAAAGTCTTCCATCCTTCAATGCCCTTGCAGCTCGCGAGTCTGACTTGCTGCTCGCTGCTGCTGGTCATGAGCGAAGAAGATACCGACGAAGTCTTCATCTCATGAGTGTCTCTTTGCTGTGCTCTCCAGTGGTTCTGCCTGTCAGGCGGAGCACAGCAGAGGCCGGCCTGCTTCGACCTCCGGCATCGTAGCTTGTCGGTGCCTCCCTGCTTAGTGTTGCCAGGAGAGGGTGCCGAAAGATGACACGCGTGCGTTGGTCAACGGAGGCTGGGTGTGCCGTGCCCGGCGATCTTGACACGTGCAGGCAGCTTACGAGATACGGTCGCGCAGTCCGTTCAGAAACTCAATCCCCGGAGCGAGTCCACCTGATCCGGATGATGGAGAAGTGCGCGCACGTGGATGTTTTACGTACTTCGAATTGGCAAACCCTTAGCTTTAACAGTGATGTATGTATGTATGTATATATAGATATGTGTGTATATATATCATATGTATAGAACACATGTGCACCGACATGCCATGAATGCATGTGGTTTTGCACTGGTCTCGACGTGCGCCTGCCCGTCAGCCCGGCCGCCCCCGCGCGCTCGCCGCAGCCCCGCGGCGTGGGAGTGCCCCCGCGCCCAGCTGCCCCGCTCCGCGGCCGCCCCCTCGCCTCTCCCCTTCTTCCGTGCCCGCGGGTGAAGTCGCGAATCTGTGCCCCGGTCTCGCCCAGTCGCGCGTGCGCATTGCTTCGGCCGCGGTGCGACGTAATATATATATATATATATACATGCATACATACATATATATATATGTATATATATACAGAAAGATATATATATATATATATATATATATACATGTATATACACACACATGAAAAAGAAGAAACTAAACACGTGGCTGCGCGCGCGGCAGATGCGACGCGCCCGCGCGCGTGTGGCGTGCGGTATGGTCTGATGCGGCGGAGTGGCACCCCCAGAAAGGCCACGAGGCGCCCACGAGGCGCCCTGGGAACCCCGGAATTCCCAGCCGGCGCCCACCACTAGCGCCCACGGACGGCGACGGCGCGAAGAGATTTGGAAATCCCGTCGGGATCCCCGCTGACGGGTTGTGTGGGTGTGGGTGTGTGTGTGTGTTTGTGTGTTTGTTTGAATGTGTTTATGTGTGTTCGTGTGTGTGTGTTTGTGTGTGTGTGTTTGTCTGTGTGTATGTGAGCTTGTATGTGTGTGCGTTTGAGTGTGTTTGTGTGTCTGTTTTTGTGTGTGTGTTTGTGTGGCTGTGTATATGAATGTGTGTGGTTGTGTGTATGTGTGGTCCTTTGTGTGTCCTTGGGTGTTTTTGTGTGTGTGTGTGTGTTTGGGTGTGTTTGTGTGAGTGTGAATGCGTTTGTGTGTGGGTGTTTGTGTGTTTGCGAGTGCTTGTGTTTGTGCTTGTGTGTGTTTGTGTGTTCTTGTGTGTGTGTTTGTGTGTGTGTTTGTGTATGTTTGTGTGTGTGTGTGTTTGTGTATGTGTGTATGTGTGTGTTTTTGTGTGTTTGTGTGTGTTGGCGCGTGTTTCTGTTTGGTTGTGTGTGTGTCTGCGTGTGTGTTTGTGTGTGGTTGTGTGTGTTTGTGTGTTTGCGTGTGTGTGTATGTGTGTTTGTGTGTCTTTGTATGTGGTTTTGTGTGTGTTTTTTTATGTGTCTCCGTGTGTTTGTGTGTGTTTGTGTGTGTTTGTATGTTTATGTGTGTCGTTGTGTGTTATGTGTGTGTTTGTGTGTGTGTTTGTGTGTGTGCTTGTGTGTGTGTTTGCGTGTGTTTGTGTGTGTTTGTGTGCGCGTTTGTGTGTTTGTATGTGTTTGCGTGTGCTTGTGGGTGTTTGTGGGTTTGTGGGTGTTTGTGTGTGGTTGTGTGTGCTGGAGTGTTTGTGTGTGCTTGTGTGTGTGTCTGTGTGTGTTTGTGTGTTTGTGTGTGGTTTTATGTGTTTATGTGTCGGTGTGTGTTGGTGTGTTTGTGTGTGTTTTTGTACGTGTGCTTGTGGGTGTGTTTGTGTGTTTGTGTGAGTGTGTTTGAGTGTGTTTGAGTGTGTATGTGTTGTGTGGGTTTGTTTGCGTGTGTTTGGTTGTGCGTTTGTGTGGGCGTTTGTATAAGTTTGTGTGTCTGTGTGTGTGTGTGTTCGGTTGTATGTGTATTTTTGTGTGGTTGTGTGTTTGTGGATGTTTGTGCGTCGTTGTGTGTCTGCGTGTGTGTTTGTGTGTCTTCGTGTTTCTTGGTGTGTGTTTCTGTCAGTTTGTGTGTCTTCGTGTGTCTTTGCGTGTCTTTACGTGTGTGTCGTTGTGTGTCTTGGTAGGCCTTTTGCGTCTTTGTGTGACTTTGTGTGTCTTTGTGTGTATGTGTGTGTGATTGTGTGTGGTTGTGTGTCGTTGTATGTGTTTGTCTGTGTTTGTGTGTGCTTGTGTGTGCTTGTGTGTGTGAGGTTATGTTTGGTTGTCTGTGGTTGTGCTTGTGTGTGTTTGTGCATGTTTGTTGTGTGTTTGTGCGTGTGTGTGTGTGTGTGATTGTGTGTTTGTGTGTATTTGTGTGTGTGTTTGTGTGTTTGTGTGTGTTTGTGTGCGTGTTTGTGTGTGATTGTGTCTGCTCGTGTGTGCTTGTGTGAGTTTGTGTGTGGGTTTGTGTGTGCTTGTGTGTGTGTTGTGTTTGTGTGTGTGGGTTTGGTTGTGCTTCTGTGTGTGGTGTGTGTTTGCGCGTGGTTGTGTGTGTTTGTAGGTGTTTGTGGATGTCTGCGGGTGGTTGGGTGTTTGTGTGTGTGTTTGTGTGTGCTTGTTCGTGGTTGTGTGTGTTTGTGCATGTGTTTTGTGTGCTTGTATGTGTGTTAGTGTGTGTGATTGTGTGCATGTGTGTTTGTGTACGTGTTGCGTGTGTGTGGTTGTCAGTGTGTTTGTGTATGTGTTTGTGTGTGTTTTGATTGGTGTTTTTGTTTGTTTGTGTGTTTGTGTGTGTGTTTCTGTGTGTGCGTGTGTTTCTGTGTTTGTGTGTGTGTTTGTGTGTGATTGTGGGTGTGTGTTTGTGTGTGTGGTGTTTGTGTGTGTGTTTTGTGTGTGTGCCTTTGTGTGTCTTTGTGTGTCTTTGTTTGTGTTTGTATGTGTCGTTTTGTGTCTTTGTGTATGTGTTTGTGTGTGTTTGTGTGTGTTTGTGTGTGTGTTTGTTTGTGTGTTTGCGTGTGTTTGGATCTCCTGAGGCACTTGCTTGAACCGCTATGATTTGCCGCCCGCCCAGCTCCTCAACCCGACGGGCCGCAGCGTCGACGACAAGAAAGTGCATGTTCACGAGCAGGCGTCCCCGCGCAATGCGCGCCGCGTCCCATTCCCGCTGCGCGACTCGCAGCGCTGACGAGGAGAAAGTACACGTTGGCAAGAAGAACGTCGAGATTGCATTGTTTTTGACAGGTAGGACAAGGGGTCCCGCGTAGGGTTGGCCGGGCGCCCGCGCGCGATGTGCGCCGCGTCCCATTATTGTTGCACTTTTCGCAGCGTCGACGACAAGAAAGCCCGCGCTGACGCGAAAGGCGTTGATTTTGTATTGTTGTTTGGTGGGTAGGACGCGACCACCCGCTTGGGGTTGCCCAAGCGATGTGCATTCCGACCCATTCCTGCTACACTTTTCGCAACTCGAAGACATGCTTGCGAACAAAAGCCAGTTCGTTTTGTTTTTGGACAGTTAGGACGGCGGGATTGCCATCCGAGGTGGGGATGACAGGGTGTTCAATCATAAGAAGTAAGGATGGAGGCGAGGGCGGGAGTCAAGTTAGCCAGCTCGAACGGGCCAGAGGGCTCCGTCCACTCCCACCCGCCCTCCCACAACATAAGAAGCAAGTGCGTCGCGTCCGACGCCCGTCGCTCATCTTATATCGCGGGCGGCTAGACGTTCAGCGCGCGACATGACCTGCGTCCTATTCCTGCCGCGTATGGAGCAACGCCGACGAGAAACAAGACCGCGCGCGACGTGCGCCGCGCCCCGCTCTGGCCTCTCGTGTTGCTTCGTCGGCGACAACATGACCAGCGCGTGAAGTTCGGCGAACCGCACTTGGTTGTGGCATTCTGACTTGCCGCCCGCCCAGCTCCTCAACCCGACGGGCCGCAGCGTCGACGACAAGAAAGTGCATGTTCACGAGCAGGCGTCCCCGCGCAATGTGCGCCGCGTCCCATTCCCGCTGCGCGACTCGCAGCGCCGACGAGGACAAAGTACACGTTGGCAAGAAGAAGCGTCGACGTTGCGGTGTTTTTTTGACAGGTAGGACAAGGGGTCCCGCGTAGGGTTGGCCGGGCGCCCGCGCGCGATGCGCGCCGCGTCCCATGCCTGCTGCACTTTTCGCAGCGTCGACGACAGGAAAGTCCACGTTGACGAGAAAAGCGTTGACTTTATATAGCGTTTTGATGGGTAGGACGCGACCGCCCGCTTGGGGTGACCCAAGCGATGTTCATTCCGACCCATTCCTGCTACACTTTTCGCAACTCGAAGACATGTTGTCGAGAAAAAAGTTGCGTTTGTGTTTTGTTTTTTGACAGTTAGGACGGCGGGATTGCCATCGGTCGGCTAGGTGGAGATGTGGGGGTGCTTAATCATAGGAAGTAAGGAAAGGGGTGGGGGTTGGGGTGGGTGTCAAGGTAGCCAGCTCGAACGAGCCAGAGCGTTCCGTCCACTCCCACCCGGCCCCCCGCAACATCAGAAGCAAGTGCGACGCGTCCGACGCCCGTCGCTCATCTTATATCGTGGGCGGCTAGACGTTCAGCGCGCTGCGTCCTATTCCTGCCGCGTATTGAGCAACGTCGGCGAGAAACAAAACCGCGCGCCATGTACGCCGCGCCCCGCTCCAGCCCCTCACGCTGTTCCGTCGGCGACCACATGCCCAGCGCGCGAAGTGCACCGCGTCTCATTCCAGCCACGCGCGTTGCACCGCCAATCGTTTCGCTCCTGCCGCGCATGGAGGAGGGGGAGGAGGAGGAGGAGGAGGAGGCGGAGGAGGAGGAGGAAGAGGAGGAGGAGGAGGGGAGGGAGAGAGGGAGGGAGGGAGAAACTGAGGAGGAAGAGGATACTGCCTGTCGGGAATTCGCGGGGCGTCCTAGGAGGCTTTTGGGTTACGTGTGAGGGCCTTTTTGGATTTATCTTCCGGGCTGGAACATTGTCAACACAAGTAGGTGCCAACCTCACAATCTTTCAAACAACAAATGAACATCAATATTTGTTGGCCCGCCAGGACCTCCTGGACGCCTTTTTTTCCGACCTCTCGGGGGTCTGCTGAGGCATTTGCTTGAACCGCACTTGCTTGAGGCAGAATGACTCGCCGCCCGCCCAGCTCCTCAACCCGCGGGCCGCAGCGTCGACGACAAGAAAGTCCATGTTGACGACCAGGCGTCCCCGCGCGATGTGCGCCACGTCGTGTCCCATTCCCGCTGCGCGATTCGCAGCGCTGACGAGGAGAAAGTACAGGCTGGCAAGAAGAAGCGTCGGCGTTGCGGTGTTTTTTTGCAGGTAAGACGGGGGTCCCGCGTAGGGTTCGCCAGGCGTCCGCGCGAGATGCGCGCCGCGTCCAATTTATTGCTACACGGTTCGCAGCGTCGACGACAAGAAAGCCCACGCTAACGAGAAAAACGTTGATTTCGCATTGTTTTTTAATGGGTCGGACGCGGCCACCCGCTTAGGGTTATCCGAACGATGTTTATTTCGTCCCGTCCCTGCTACATGTTTCGCATTTCGACGACATGCTGGCGAGAAAAAAGTTGAGTTCGTGCTGTTTGTTTGACAGTTTGGACGGCGGGGTTGCTATCGGCCGGCTCGGTGGGGATGTGGGAGCGCTTAATCATAGGAAGTAAGGATTTGGGTGGGGGTGGCGGTGGTGGAGGTGGTGGGGCGGGGGGGTCGGGGAAAGGGGGGGGAAGGGGGGGGGGTGAGTGTGGGTGTGAGTGTGGGTGTGGGTGTCAGCGTGGGCGTGGGTTTGGGTGTCGGTGTGGGTGTGGGTGTGGGAGTGGGTGTGGGTGTGGGTGTGGGTGGGGGTGTGCGTGTGGGTGTGGGTGTGAGTGTGGAGGTGAGTGTGAGCGTGTGCCCCGGAGGGTGTGGTTTAATTCGCTCGCTTTTGGCACCGAACCGCCCCAAACAGATGCCCCCCCGCCGCAGGCAGCTTCCGATGGTTGCCCACTGGTGGGGCACGCGGGGGGCATCTGTTTGCAGCAGTTCGGTGTTCCAGCGGATCGAACTCATGGCCCCCCCTCAGGATCCCCCCCCTGTTGGTGGATCCCGATCCCAGCCGGCGCACGAGGCGCCCAAGAGACGCGCTTGCGGGCGGCGAAGGGGCGAACATTTGGACATCTCTGCCAAGCGCTTAGAGGCGCGAGAATCACTTGGTGCAAGTACTGGTCGGGGGAAACAGCACCAACGACGTGGCCTCTCGGGGCCTCCTTGGGCTTGCTCTTGGGGACCTGTGGGGGCGTCTTGGGGGCTTTTGGCGCCGTCTTGAGACCATCGTGGGGCCCTCTTGGGCAGACTCGAGGCCCTCGTGGACCGTGTTGGTGGCCTCTTGGATGCTCTCGGCCGTCGTGGCGCTCCAGGGCCTGCCTGGAAAAACGTCGCGCGACGAGCCCGGGAAGGCGGGCGCCCCCAGAGTCACGCGAGACACCCTTGGAAGCCTGCCTGGCACGGGGACGGAGAACGCTCGTTGTCTGTGAGGGCGCGAGATCGCCTACTCAGTGTCTTGGAGTCCTCTTGGTGTTAAGACTGTGGCACGTCGTACAACAAACTAACATCCAACCTTGCGAAAGTCAATGGATATGGCCTCTCTGGGCCTTCTTGGGGGACTTTGGGGGGATCCTTTGGGCCGTGTTGGGGCCCTCTTGGGTCGTCCTGGGGCCCTCTTTGGCCGTCTTGGGGGGCTTGGGCCGTCTTGGGGCCCTATCGGGGTCCTTTGGGGCCCTCTTGGGGACCTCCTGTGACTCTCGTGGGGCTCTCTTGGGACTCTCTTGGGGATCTTTTGGGGCCATCAGGGGCCTCTCTTTGCCCGTCTTGGAGCCCTCGTGGGCCGTCTTGGAGCATTCTTGGGCCGTCTTGGGGCCCTCGTGGGCCATGTCGGGGCCGTCTTGGGAGCTACTTGTGCCGTCTTGGGGGGATCCTGGGGGCTCTTGGGCCGTCGTGGATCCGTCGAAGACCAGAGAAGCAGACATGCTAAACATGTACGTGGCCGAAGGGGAATGGGACGATTTGTGCCTCTTGGGGCGTCCTTTTGGAGGCCTCGTGGAGCGTCGTGAGGCTATCTTGGGCTTTTTTTGAGCGCTCTGGGGCCGTCTTTGGGCCCTCTTGGGCCTCCCTGAGGCCGTCGTGGCGGTAGCCTGGGCGCTCTTGTGGATGCCTTGGGCCGTCCTGGGGCCCTCCGAGGCGCTCTTGGGGCCGACTTCGGCCGTCCAGGGGCCGAACATGACCAAGCACTGTGCCATTAGATCTGGGCCCGCCGGGCCCAACTGCCTCCCGGCTAGCGGATCGTGAGGCGACGCGCGCGTTCCGTCATCCGTCCCCCGGGCATGTGAACCCATTAGAGCTTGTGTGGCGTGCTCGGCACGGTGAACTCACAGGGACCCGAGGATGCTCCCCTCGGTGCCCAGCGGCTCGGTGGCGGATAGCCAGCGGGAGCCGTCAGATCCCGATAAGCCCGAGCCCAGATACGTGCAATATAGCGGTTCAATGTACACATATGAGCATAGATGTTTGTATATGTTATTTTGTGTATAGACATGTGTATGTAATATACCGGTCACTTCCAATTCGTACATGTATATGGGTATATAAAAAACATAGATATGGCCCAGGTCCAATCATCGTTTTATGCAAGTTTTCGCTGCACAGTCAGCCAGGAAGCTGGATACATTTGATATGGCCAGAATGGCCGACAGTTGGCCAGATCTTTCCGCGCTCGACCCTCGTGTGACTGGGTACGCTAACGCCTCCCGCATGTGTGCCTTGCGTGTGGTTTCCGCGTGTGCCGCGTGCGAATCCAGCCGCGCGCGTTTCCAGATGTTTGGTAGCGACCACTTCTTCATGTCAATTCCGCGACTCATGAGTGATCATTGTAGTCGTTCTGTCAAATGGGGCTTAAACTCGCTAGCAGCGTAGCATTGACATGCAACATAGCATGGCACAAGTGTTGCAGTGTTCTTTTGCGAAGCCTCGCCGTTTTTCGGCATTCGCTGCATTCTTATTTTGAGGATAGCTCATCTCAGCGAAAGCGCGTATCGGTGCAGCGCTTCGAGCATCCATCCGAATTGACAATGTTTCATTGTCGTCTTCACACGCGCGTCTTGAGTGGTGGTTGTTGATGTTGTTCGTTCGCATCTCTGTCCTAATCATGTCGATCGTTTCAGTGCCTTTGCACGTGGACTCCAAGTATTAACTGAATGAGCATGTTGCCGTAGAGTCCGAATGCGCAAGCCTGTGAAATGCAGATGACGTTCACAGGAGGTCGCGATAAGACGAGCGCTGTGCTCATGATCTGTGTTAGATCACACACGTGCGTACGCGTGTTGTGCGCGCGCTCCGGGAAAGAGAAGTGTTCTACCGAGGCCGAGAAAAGGAGGAGTTGAGGATGCAGAGGAGGAGAATCGGCAGGAGGAGGAGGGTAAACCGACGCGCAGGACAGCCATATTATGCAGGAGACATGTGTGATGACAAATTCGTGTCCCGATGCGCCCACGCATGCTTGTTCGTCATCCTCATTCTTCTCTTGCTTTGCTTCGGCCTTCTCCCTCGCGATGTCCACTCACAAGGGTGCTGCGTTCTCATTGAGCATCCTCGTGCGAAGTCGTGTCCATAATCTGGCCCTGCGCCAGCGACGCAGACGGCCTGCGGGTGTGAGGACGCGCTTGTGTGCGGCCTGAAGCACGGCGCTGTTCTTTCAGCACCGGGCCAGTGATGAGATGCGCTTGCATGTTGATTGTGTGTGTGCTCAGGGGTTGCCGGCGGGGCTTTGGGCTCTCTTCCTTGGGCAGGGCCGGTTTGATGAGCAGCGGCAGCCCCGCGGGAGGATTTGCGGCACCAGTATTGGGCCATTGCGTCAGTGAGTGCCGGCCGATTGGCCACAAAAAGTGCAGCCATCCGTGCACTTGCACGGGGATTAAGGGAAACACAGTAAGCGCCGACGTTGAAAGGATATCGAGCAGCTGCCAGTATAGTGGCGTATGTTTCTTACGATTGTAAGGTGATCGCCCTGGTCGTTGCCGCGGCCTTGGGGCTCGTCGGTGCTCTGGAGGAGACGGGGGCAAAGATAATCGCACGGGCGTGCTGTTTGGGAGGACGCGATAGACACAATCATCATGCCACATGTCTTGCCGCACATCTCGCTGACAAATTCTATCGACCAGTTGTTGAACACGACGACCTCGCAGAAGCCATGGGTTAAACAGAGTTGGCAGAAACCGTCGGTTGCTGAACATATCGGAGGGTGTAGAATAGAGGTGTAGAGAGTACATTAAAGCGTAGAGAGCAAATGGGAGAGAGCATATAGTTTTATAATGGTCCAATCACTTTAGCACTGGTCCCCAAAAAGACTTTTGAGCACCAGGGAAGCAACGAAATTTGAGGATTTTCGCGTGTCGGGCCCTGGGAGGCAATACTCGTTCGACATTGTTTCGATACTTTTCGCTCGATTTGTTTTGTTGGATAGGGGTCCTTCAGTACGATGGAAGCAATATGAATGTAGTCGACAGTCGCGCATTCGCCGCCCTTTACTCAAATCCGTCACGTACTTAGGGCGAGCGTATGATTGGGTTTTTTTCTGGTGTAGGTCATTTGACGAAAGACATTGAAGGTGAGCGGACATACTATTGTGACGAGCCCAACTGCTTTGGCCCAGTAACTCTCAACGGTTTCCTCCAAACACCACGTATTCATTCATGCATGTCTTCGCCATTCGCTCTTGCCGCTCCGTTGAGTACTGCTACTGCTGCTGGTGCCACTGCCCATCCCTCGCTGCGCTCCACAGCAGGGTTTATAAACAAGCCGGAGGAGGATGACGATGAGGAGCAGGAAAAGGAGGAGAAAGAGGAGGATGACAAGGATAAGGATGATCCCGCGAACTGGCAGGGGTAGTTTTCGACCGCAGGTCGGCAGGAGGAGGGCGAGGGCGCGGAGGATGGTTATGATAAGAATGGCGCGGCCGATGAAGCGGATGAGGACGAGAGGGACGATGGCACAGTCAGGTCGCATCCCCATCATCGTCCTAGGGAAGGACGCAGTAGGAGGATGCATAGTCATCTTGCTGAAGAACCCAGCCATTTGCAGTTGTTAATGTGTTAATGTTGCGTTGTGGTTACTGTTTCCGGTGGAGCTCCCTACGGTGCCACGAAGCGCGCGAGGAATGTGCCGTAATGGTAATGGGGTGATGAATTCAAGCAGGGAGACGCACGCGGCCCCTGCCACGGGGGCCTTCGGTGGAGCTCCCTGTTGGCCACGGAAAGCGTGAGGGGTATGCCGAAATGGGGGAGGCGCATGTTGCCCCTGCCACTGGGGCCTTCGGTGGAGCTCCTTATGGGTCACGGAACGCTGCACTGGGTGGCGGAGACGCGTGTGGACCTTGCCACTGGGGCCCTCGGTGGAGCTCCCTATGGGAGACGGAACGCTGGAGACGCACGTGGGCCTTCCCATTGGTGCCTTCGGTGGAGCTCCTTATGGGCCACGGAACGCTGTATGCACCAAACGGCGAGACGCAAGCCTCGTATGGGCTACGAGGCGCTGCACTGCGTGGCGGAGGCGCATGTGGAGCCCGTCACTGGGGCCCTCGGTGGAGCCACTGCGTGGCCACGAAACATGTGAGAGGTGTGCCGGAATTGCTGACATGCGGAGGGCAAATGGGAATGGGAATGGTCAATTCGCGAGGCGGAACAGATATCAATCAAGGAGGGATGCGGCCTCTGGCTCGTTGCTCCGACAACGACACAAGCTTTGGCCAGAGCACATCCTCGAGGGTGGGAGGAGGGGGGGACGTCAGGAGGACGGTGAGGCGGGACGCGGGGCGCTTGCTCTTCAAGCCGAGGGCCCAAGCCCACAGAGTGGCTGGGAACAGAGAAGGGCTAGGAGGAGGAGGGGGAGGAGGGGGAGGGAGGGTAGAAGGGGGGGAGGGGCGGAGGAGGTTAGAAGGGGGGAGAATAGATAGACGGGAGGATAGATATGAGGGAGATTAGAAGGTTTGAAGGTTAGAGGGGAGGATGGACAGGAGGGAGGTTAGAAGGCGGGGGAGGGACGGAGGAGGAGGGGAAGCAAATGAGAAGGAGCACGGGAGAACGCGGACGATGGAGGAGGAGGAGAAGGAGGAGGAGGAGGAGGAAGAGGAGTGGGGCACGCACGAGGGGGGATGAGGAGAAGGAGAACGGAGGGGCGAGGACAGGTGGATCAGGATTTTTTTAAATGCAAACTAGAACCAGTGCCGGCGGATCCAGCCACGGGGTCAAGGCTCCTGCAGACGAAACTCAGCTCGCAGGAGTGAGAGTCTTAGCGATGGCACCGCAGACCTTGTGGCGGCGACCATCATGTCAGGCGTGAGTCTCCGACGCGGCCGCTTCGCATACATGTCTTAGACTCTGGCTTCTACTCTGCACGCAGCTTCTTGAATGGACCATCACGAGTGTATCCGCACCGATGGGCACACACATGTATAATTATATATATATATATATAACGACTCGACATTGGAAAGAACCACGCACGGGTGGCCCTGCTCAGCGAGGGTCAAGGCAACGGACTGAGGCTGACCTGTGCAGCCCTTTGTCAGGAGGCTGCTCCAGCCGACGCCTGAGTCCGAGGCACGCGGGGCACCCACAAGGGGGTCATTGCACCAGCACCACTGACGGAGGCACGGATCGTCCTCCTTGGTCGCCGAGGGCGAGCTACGGCAGGTTCGCGTCGTGTCGACCGTCGGCGACCCCGCCCGCGGCGTGTAACGTTGAACGCCGCCGGCGACCCAGAATCGGTCGATGTTGAACGATTGGACGTTGCGGGAACGGCCGATCGTTTAAGGTTGAACGATCCACGCGGTGTCAGAAACCAACGCCAGGGTCGTCACGACGCGAACCTCCCGTACGCACCTAGGGAACACCTGTGACGTCGAGCTTCGGCCACGGAGGAGGCACAGAATAGGCTATAGCTTACACGCCAGGCGAGATTGTTCGGTGGTCTCATGAAGATCCTGAAGCTCGGCTAGCGACGGCTGGGGAAGTGCAGCAGCTTACCGCTTAGCTGCTGCATATCGGCGGCACTGCTGCCACTCATGAACGCTCACAGTCATGTGAGTCGTCGTGCTCTAACATAGGAGCTTTGACTTGAGCCACACTTCCGATCGGGTATATCATTTCCAAGGCAGGACACGTCAAACATATCCAGAGCGGGAGCCGGGGGGAGAAAATACGAAGCGGAGTAGAGGAGGAGGAGAGGTGCAGGAAGGGGACAACGAGGTCAATCATTGGGGGGCAGAATGCATGCTCTCCGCCCACCCCGACATTCGGGATACCTGCCCGAGCTGTGGCAGCGTTGTGCCCTGGCCGCCTACACATGGCCCTCGCGTGGCCCCTGTCAAGCGACCGTTCGCTTCTTCTGCTCGGCAGTCTGCCAGCTCGTCCGTGGCTGATGTGGGCGCCAGCCGGAGACGTCGGCCGGGCTCAGGCGCACCCTTTGCGCAGCCCAAGACTTGTGGGATACTTCCCACCCAGGCGCCGAAGGAGGCTCCATGTCCCTGTGGGTCCTCCCGCGAGCCGTTCTCCTGGCGCTCCTCGTGCCTCTGGGCGCAGGCCAGGGCCCCCGCGACGTGTCTCCTCGTCTCTTCTCCGCGGCCCCTCAGTGGCAGAACTTTTTTGAGGAGGAAGAGTAGGACGACGAGAGGAGAAGGAGGAGGAGGCGGAGGAGGAGGCGGAGGAGGAGGAGGAGGAGGAGGAGGAGGAGGAGGAGAGGGACGACGACGACGTCGACGACGAGGAGGACGACGACGACGAGAAGGATGGCTGTGTGCTGGAGCCCGTATTGCGGGAGGGGCGCGCGCCGAGTCCTCCGTCGTTCTTCGAGGCCCCGGAGGGGCCAGAGGCCGTCGCATTTGTGCCACCCTCGTGTTTCCGACCGTCTTCGAGTCGGTACAGCTCCTGAGTGGGGACTGTCGGGAAATCAGCTCCTGAAGTACGCATTGTCCTGAGTAGACCCCCGACGCGCGCAGCTTCTCATGCGAGGCCATGGCCTCACCCGGGCCCGGGCGCATGCCCGCACTGGCGTTCCGTTCCGTTCCGTTCGAGTCGGTTACACGTGAGGCATTCAAGACAGGGCCTCGCCTTCGAGGATCGAAGGAGTTGTCATCTCTTCCTCGCTGACTTCCCACGAGGGCTAACAAGAGGCACCAGGACTTTGGCGTCTAAATTGCTGTCGAGATTTCCAGCAGTCCAGATAGGTATATGGGTCTGGAGGGCTATTTCTAGCACTCTGGAAAGTCAGGGCTCGGGGGAAGGCGGTGGAAGCAAAACGAGGCCGCCTCCGCTGGCGGAAGCCGGGTGAAGCTCGGCGGAAGGCGGCGGAAGTAAAAGTCGGCATCTCAATAGATGGCAAGGTTGGTATTTCAGTTCCGGACACCCCGCCACGTAGGAGTGACCCTTCGCCAGAGTGACCTCTGGCGCGAGCCCGCTGGGGCTCCCGATCGTTGAGCGCGATGTGATATCAGCTGCTTGCTCGCTTGCGTTTCGGCCGCGCACCCTTCAAGTCGTGCGCAAAAGGTCATTATTGCCCAGGGTCACTCTTGCGTGTGGTCGACCGAAGTCGAGAGTTCCAGGCTGGCATCAGTCCGCGCATGCGCGAGCGTCATTGTGTGGGCTCCAGGCCTTCTCGATGCTTCGTCCTCGCAGCCCGCGCACATGCGGTACACTTTGGTCAGCCGCACTCGAGATCGCCGCATCGTGTATCAAACGGCTCATGCTGCGCAGCAGCCCGATTGCGGGCGCCATGGGCGACACCCTTGGTGTAACATATTTTTAGGCTGTCCATCTGTGTATATAGACGTATATAAACGTATACGGATATGTGTGTGTGTCTGCGAAGTCGCCCTCACCACGACACTGTTTGTTGTGTGCCGTGGCGTTCGCGAAGGGCACGCGAGGCTGTGCACGAGTGCCGACTGCCCCTGGCGCGAGTGTGATGCGTTTGCATTGCTGCTCCGCCAGCGGTATCCCACGTGTGTCCGGACGTGAGCTCTCGTTGGTCGCCCAGTTGGTTGTCTGCACAATTTTCTACCTGCGATGTGGACGCAGTGCGTTTTCAATATAAATGTCAGGGCATGTTCTGCAAACGGTTCATGTCTGGAGTGCAACGGCAATAGGGTGTGAAAAAACCATGTTCTTTGAATGATTCGTGCACCCAGCATGAACTGCATGATGTCCCAATAGCGTCACGACTGCGTCCCAGCAGTGAATCGAACAAGAGCCGAACGGAAGTTTCACATGATTCTGACGGTTGCGCATGATGTTTCGCAGTGGGTCCCATTGGTTGCCAGATGGTGCCCTTTGTGTTGGCCCAGAGGTGAGCCGAACGCGAATCAAATGCGAATTGCAGATAGGTCAGATAGGAAGCAAACGTACCTCACCTGCGAACCTGTTGTGCATACATGGACAGTGTAGTGCAAGCGCATGGCATCCGAGCTTTGCCCCGTCCGTGCCCCGATGATTGTGATCTGAGTTCGGACGCAATGTGAACTATTGGTCAGCCACCACTTGACACACGTGGACCGTGGTAAGTATTCAAGTCGCATGTGACCTCGACACGCGCGAAAGTCCAGCACGTTGAACATGAAGTGCAAAACGGTGCATGCCGAGTCATGCACAAACGTGAGTTCATTGCGTGACCAGGTGGTGGATTCTCTCGTGAGAACCAATCGTACAACACAGTAACCTCCTCGCGAAGCAATCGGGGCCAAATACATCGGCGTCACAAAATCTTCGTCATGAATTGAGATTCGATCGTCTTGCGTTCGCAGGGCAGGATCCCACCCGGTGGGATTTCTACACCCGTGTGATTTTACGCCGGGATGTTTGATACCAAGTTTTTTAGACTCAGCACTGTAGAATGGCAGGAAATCTCGGAATCAGGAATCCCAGATCTCTGATCCGACCGCTCTTGACCCAGCCCGCTAGGATTCTGGGGGGGAGATCACCACCCACCAAACCACCCCAACCCAACCCGAAGGCCCCAATTTATCCTCGATTTCCAGTGGGGGGGGGGTCGTGGAACATCGAAAAACACGTATGGAACCCTTACCCCCCCCAACCCGAAATTCGGGTCTTCGGGTTGGGTTGGGGTGGTCTGGGAGGTAGTCAGGAGAGGGGGGCAGCTTGGCGGTGTCGGGACAGGGGTCGGCCTCCGCCCGCCCGCTCCACCGGAGGTAGCGGACGAAACCTACATCGTCTCAACGCTCCCATCAAGCGTGACGAGCTTTTGCCACAGCGTGGAATGTCCTCCTCCTCCTCCTCCTCCTCTGTTCCCCCTCCCCTCCTCCTCCTCCTCTTCCTCCTCCTCATCATCTTCATCCTCCTCCTCATCAAGCGTGACGAGCTTTTGCCACAGCGTGGAATGCTGTCCTGTGCGGGACACCCGTGCGAGACACTTGCGCGAGCACCCTGCGCCTGTGCGAGACGCCCGCGGAAGCCACGGTGCTGCGACGGCGCGGTCGTGTTGCGCCGTGGTGCCGCGGCGCCTGGCCTCCTCCTCCTCCTCCGCCTCCTCCTCCTCCTCGTCCTCCTCCTCCTCCTCTGTTCCCCCTCCCCTCCTCCTCCTCCTCCTCTTCCTCCTCCTCATCATCTTCATCCTCCTCCTCAGTATAGACAACGCGTGGTTCCAGCACCTGCAGTGCGCGCCAGGAATGTGTGGGGCGGTCCGAGCAAAGGGCCCTGCCCTCGAGGGTCGAAGGAGTTGCCCTCTCGTCCACGGCGGAAGGGCGGCGGACCATGCCGGCGGAAGCACAGCGGGGCGGCATCCGCCGGCGGAAGCTGGCGGAGGGGCGGCGGGAGGTGGCGGCAGGGCGCGTGGTCGTGGGGGGACGGCCTCTCCTTCCGAGCCCGCATGCGCAGCCGTCGGTGGGCCCACCGTTCGGAACATACACCTTAGGCGATGCTTAAGAAAACTTAAGTTTTCGGCCAGAGTCTCGATTATTCTTAACGTTTCAATGTAAATCTTAAGAGTTTAATAGAAATGTTGGGTTTTTATTCAAGTTCTGAGACTATGAATTTCTTAACCCATGATTTCTTAAGCATCTCGCAGGGTGTAGGCTTCCGAATGCGCCGATTTCGGTTGAATAGGCCCCTCACGTGGCGTCCTTCCTTGGAGGTTCCTGGGCGCAGTGGTTTAAAAGGAAGGGCGGCGGAAGGTGGCGGAAGTAAAAAAACACCCCCCAAGGCATGACAATTTTTTTGGGGGGGGTCCGGGTTTCGGGAGCCCGCCATGCAGACAATGTGCGATGTGAATGGCATTGCAGGGCGCAAAAAGGGTTACATATAAATGTGTTCTAGATTAGTGAGCGTGGACAGCGTCTGGACAATGATGATGTATAGTGATGGCCCCAAGCGTGGAAGGACAGAATGGGGATCACGTGCGAACCGATCGGCCGCCGATTGCGAACCTGGTGTGTGTGTGTGTGTGAGCCGCGGCTCAGCGTGAGCGCATTGCGTTTCACATGCGAAGCATCTGTGAAGTACGTATGTCTTGCAGTGTGGCACGCACGAGTGGCCTCGAGCGAGCCAGCTGCTTCTGCGGGGAGGGAACAGGCGATGCGGTACAGTCGGACCGACAAGGCCATTCCGCCGTGCCTGCGGGCGGTGTTTTTTTGTGTCTGAGTCAGCGCATACAGAGGAGCACATTATGTTGGGCCATCCCACCAAACAGTCGTGCGTTGTGTTTGTCGGAAGCTGCCTGGTATGGAGGCTCACGGCGGTATCACGCTGAAGCCGTGGTTGCAGATGCGATCCTTTTAGCTAGTGCCTAAAGTTGTCATGATGCCATGACCTGCAATGTGTTGTCAATGTGTATGTTTGTCTCTTCTAGGGCCGGGATGAGCACGACTCCGCATTCTTCTCGTGAGCGTTCATCTTAAGCGTAGCGTTTCCTATGTTCCGAGAGAGGTCATTGGTAGATGTCAATTCGAATTCGTGTTTGAGTTCCGGACCATTGCTCGCAAGTGGGCGTTTATTGCAGGCAGGTTTGTTATGTTCCGGGTGATTCCTTTTGCTTCTCCTCGTCGCCGCATTCTTTAGGTAGCCGAATGAAGCTTGTGGATGTTGCATGCAATGTGTGTCCAATCCCTTCCAGAGGTGAATACCTTGCCAGAAGGTAGCGGTTCTTCATTCATCGAGGAGCAGGAGACTCGGTCAGCACAGAAGAGTAGAGGGGGGCAGCAATAATGATACGGAACATCATGATTGGAGTCAGAAGGAATTTGTTGAGGAGGAGGAGAGGCGGCACCAGGAAGACTACGACGATGCGGAGAGGACAGGCGAGGCGGATCTTAGGGGATGGATGGGGCCGTTCCCATGGCCACGTTGGACTCACTCGCCCCCCTTCCTGGTGTACCAGCCATAACAGATGCCTCCGCTGATTCGGCGGGCCTTGGAAAGAGCGGGTGCATACTACGCTGCCAGATGAGTTTCGCTTGGCTTGGTACATGTCTCGATTTCGCTATGTTTAGTGACGATCGGGAAACATGTTCGACGAGATCTACATTGCCGGGTACCTCCTTGGAGAGCTAAGAGGGCTTCAGATAAAAAAACCAGAGTCGCAGGGTAGCCCTGGAGCTCGTTCTGGCTTCCAGCAGGAATCCCCAGAGAAATTTGTCCGAGTTCGCAGCGTGTCCCGGGAGGCCTTTTTTTCTAAGCTTTTCCCAACACGCGTGCCCGGAAGATCTCCAGAAGGTCCTTCGGAAGCTCTCTCCAGGTCCTTCCAGAGTTCTTCGCTTTTCCTTCGCACGTTCTCTTGGCACCCTGCTATCTGGGTTTGGGACTCCACAATGGATTGATTCCCGGGCGGACAAGAAGCCTTATCACGATTTCTGTTGCAAGTTTTAAACGTTTCAGCTTCGGGCCCAGACGGGTTTCCGTTTCTCTGTTTGGTTGAAAGGAGGGCGAGTATGCCACGAGGCATTGTATGAAATCCACGAGGCCATGCCGGATTGGTATATCGCACCTTGCAGGACTTTGTGTTGAATGCAACATTGCGCGATAACATATGTATGCGTTTGCGCGCAAGGCGTCGACAATCATGCCCATGGCCTTGAGCAGCACGAGTAACAGCATCATGCGTAAACCATCGAACGGAATCGTGCGGTTATTGTACGAGGTATTGTTCATTGGCGACAGCGAGAGTTCTTGGGCGGGCGGTAATTCAGACGAGTGTCTCGAGCTTGGAGTTGGCGACCTGTAGTATTCTGCATCTGGTGACCCACGGCCATTGTTTGGGCTAGTAGTCACTTGGGTCAAAGACAGGACAGCCGCGCTAAACATAGCCTCAATCCGAATTCTTGTTCATCGATGCTCAAGCTCGGAACGGCCTCGTCTGGATCTTGGCCATTCGTTCGACAGAGTTTCGAGAACGAAAAATAGGAGTTGCAGTGATTAAGGTTGTTTGTTCAGGCGCAGGCTAACGTAACGACCACTCCAGAGAAGGCGAAGACCTAGTCCTCCCGTTGGGGGCGTCTTCTTCAATGATGCCCCCTGGACCCCCGTTTCCCTCGATGAGGTTGTGCCTCGGGAATAGTCGGATGTGGCATGTGGTCAGGACAGAGGAGACGAGGATGAAAATGACAGGGAAGTGGAAGAGGATGAGGACACTCGCACGGAGAGATGGGTTGGCTCGATGCCGGAGCCCACCGCAGCAGTGGAGGCACCGTGCTTCTTTGCCCACATGGCTGGCTTCCCTGACCTTGGCTCGTTCTTCTTTCGCAAGCTGGGCCAGGTGGATAAGCGGCACTTTGAATACCAAAAGGGAGCTCATGGGACTCCTTGGCATAGTCCATTCTGGGGCTTTGGCCAGATGTGTGCCTGTTCCTTGGTGGGTTCGCCTGCGCTTGCAGAGGGATGCTCATCCTGTGCTTCCCCCATTCAGTAGGAGAACCGCATTGTTAGCAGACTAGCAAGCTTGTTGGCTGATCATGATGCTCATGGTACAACAGATATGCCGCTTGGGATCTTCGACCAAGTCTGACAGATCCTTACAGTAGACAGGACAATGGGCATCTAACAGAGTATTGTACTTATGATACGTCCTAGCTTCTTTGCGGGAAATGGTGCACCTCCAACGGCCTCGGAAAAACACGATGACATGGGACCCATTGGTCCCAGGGCGGCACTCACGGGGCGCGGGCGGAGGAGGAGGGAGGAGGAGGTGGAGGAGGCCCAGGGGGGCTCGAGGAAGAGGCGGGGAGGCCCCATGAGGCTTGGGCCGAGGCAGCCCCGGTTGGGGGCGACAGGCTCTTCTAGGGGGCAGCCGAAGCTTTGTCACTGCAGGGGGCAATGGCTGGCCACTCACTGAGGACCTCAGCCGCATATCTGGTATACTTTCTCCATAATGTAAAGTAGCGCTCGAAAGACGGCGTCTCTGCTTCGCTGGGTTGCGCGCCTCTGAGTGTTGTTGTTTTGGCCAAGCGGTTTGCGGCGGCCTTGCCATCTGCCAGCTTTCTGGCCTCGGTTCCTGCAGGTGGGGCTTGCGTGCCATGGTGAGTTTTAATCTTTTGCAGGCGCCGCCCAAAGGGAGCCCACAACTTGGCTCAAGCTCGAGTGAGGCTCAAGCCCCAAGCAGTCAACAAACGTCCCCTTCATTCAGTGCATCTGCGCCATGGCATGGGCCAAAAATCATGCCATGGGCATGGGCTGAAACATCGAGCAGCAAAGATATGTGTTTGGAAAGGCGATCGCAATACAGACCGGACCCATGACGGGAGCGCTGAAAGTTCGCAGAAGTGATCGTAGAAAAGCTTGAGGCGATATTGAATGACCAGTTTGATCTCATCTGCCGGCTGGGCGAAATCGAGTCCCACACTTTGCGTGCAGAAATGCAGGCAAACCAATACTGTCAGCACCCTGTCCCAATGGAACCAATCGTAGCAATGCAAGGGACAACTTGGTATGTTGAGGTACCTAACTTTGGGCACGTCGAGAAGATTGTCGAAGTTCCCAAGGTTGTACTTGTGGAGAAGATCGCGGAGCAGGTCCGTGTCATGCCAAGAGCTCGTGATAATGCCAGCAGTGGTGAAATGGGTCGAGACGACGCCCCTTCTTGTGAGGCGAGTCGCGCATCTGGCGAAGATGGAACGATCAAGGAAGCGGATGCCACACTTGACGGTTCAATCTCGAGTACTCAGACACAAATCGATTTGTTCACCGATGCGAAGGACGAAACAAGTAATATAGGTCTGGTGCTGGATACGCTTGGGAACCACAGGCTGGAATGCAAATCAATACTCCCCAATCCAAACAGCACGAAGTTACCGAGGGTTTAAGTGGAGCAGCGTTGAGAGTTCATGCATCGGTATTGTGTCTGGCGGAGTGCATGCGACAAATTTCTCAATGGGACTGGAAACCCGATGAACAAGACAGACGAGTTTTTGGAATATATTTACAAAGTACACAAAAGATGGCCGAGGTGATGGGTTTCGCACAAGTATATGTGAGACAAACGCGCCACGTCTTTTTACGACGCCGCATGTTCAAACTCATGGGAAATATTGTACTCGTGGAGCCCATAGTACGCACTCGAAATCGTAAAGTAACCACGTGCTACGACATCAGGGTTTCGGCGATCCGGCACCCCCGCCGAGCTCTTAGAGAGCCGCCCCCCGGGGCGCAGATCGGCACCTGTCCTGTCCTGTCCTGTACGCTTCACCGCCATGCAGCTGGAGCACTCCCTTGTAATCATAACCAGTAACTTGGACAGACCTCGCCATGCTGCTGACTGCGGCGGCTGCTAGGTGCTCTGCCGCACCTCAGGTCAGAGAAACAAGTTGACCGATTCGACTCATGGAATGCTGACTTGTATGTTTACTTGTACTCAGGCCACCACACACATATATATATACATATATATATATATATATATATATATATGATCGCGGGCTTCGGGTCTTCGGGCCCCCCCCCTCCCCCAGATGGGATGTGTCCCAGGGTTCTCGGGCCCCCACCCCCCGCGCAGATGGGATGGGGGGGGAGGAGGAGGAGGGGAGGAGGAGGAGGAGGAGGAGGAGGAGGAGGAGGAGGAGGAGAACGAGGAGGAGGACGACGACGGCAATGACGACGACGACGACGACAACGACGACGACACCGACAACGACGACGACGACAACGACGACGACGACAACGACGACGACGTCGACGGCACCACCAGCGGCGGCGGCGACGACGTCAAGCACCGGAGCTGCCAGCACGACGCCAATCCCAGCCACACGCCGCACCCACACCGCACCCACAGGGGGGGAGGGAAGGGGGGAGGAGGACCATGGCGTCACCCCGCACACACCCACAGCAACACACCACACTTACACCACATCCACAGGGGAAGGGGGGGAGCCACCACGCCACGCCCACGCCCACGCCGGGGGGTGGGGGGGGCATCGCGCGGGGGGGGAGGGGGGGCCCGATGGCATTGGCATTGGGGGGGGGCCCAAACCATCGACCATACATATACGTAGCACCCCGCAATTGCGGATAAGAGTGAGGGGGCGGGCGCGGGCGACGCGGGCGTCGTCGAGCCGGCGGACCTCGTGGCCCCCACCTTCCTTGTCGATGGCACTCTTCTCCTCCTCCTCCTCCTCCTCCTCCTCCTCCTCCTCCTCCTCCTCTTCTTCGTCCTCGTCGTCATCGTCATCGTCATCCTCCTCCTCCACCTCGTCCTCCTCCTCTTCTTCCTCGTCCTCCCTCTCCCCCCGTCGTCCTTTCATCATCGTCCTCCCATTGCCGTCCTCCCCCTCATCGGCCTCCATCGTCGTCCTCCCATTGTCGTCCATCATCATCATCATCATCATCATCGTCATCATCATCATCACCATCATCATCATCATCATCATCATCATCCCCCTCCTCCCCCTCCTCGTCCTCCTCGTCCTCCTCCTCCTCCCCATCCTCCCCCTCCTCGTCCTCCTGCTCCTCCTTTCCTTTCTCCACATTATCCTTACATCCTCTCTTCTTCCCAAACCTCCTCGTCCCCTGTTTACTCCTCCTGCCCCCCCTCTTTCCCCATGGTAACTGCAACGCAATCCTTTTTTCCACTTTATGCTTCCCGCCTTTTCTGATCAGGGCAACTCGCCAGGGCAGAGTTGCTGGACGGGCTGGTGTGGATGCGCGGGGCTTGAGGAGGTCCTTGCAGGCTCAGACGG